GGAGAGTTATGGAGGGAGGGGGAACAAAATGAGAAGCTGATACCAAGGGCTCAAGTAGAAAGAAACTGTTTTGAAAACGATGACGATGATAACACATGTACAAATGTGCTTGACACAATGGATGAATGTATGGATTGTGATAAGAGTTGTAAGAACCTGCAATAAAATGATAACAAAAGTCTAGCAAAACAAACAAACATCAATAAATAAATAAAGTAAGGCTAAATAAGAAAAAGAAATGAGATAGTAACTGATGCCAGTAGGGTTCTGCGCTGAACTAAATGGTCTTCTAGAAATACATATATACGACATATACATTTGTCTGCACAGAATCTCCATGGGTCTCCATCACTTTTTGGTACCCGTTTCTTGACTATTCCATTATGTAAGCCTCTGTATCTACCGACTGAAATATAATCAAAATTTTCCAATTCCCTTCCGAAGGCCAAGCAAAAAGGCAAGACAATTTATTGCATGTGGTAAATTCAAGAGTTTCACCCACTGTGCTATTCGAAGCCAACTTTGGCCAAGCTGCGGCTACCTGTCCAAATAGAAAAGGTTATCTTTGCTTGCCCACCTCCCTCTTCACCTTTCTTGAGTCTGAGCTTCACCATAAGGGCCTCTAAGCAGATGCAGTATAGTATGGAATGGTATGGCAAAGATAGAAACCATGGATAGGAAGTGGCCTTACCTCGATTTCCTGATATGAGCTATTTATCATAGCAATTAGCATATTGAGTAAAACGACCACCATCGTTACATTGTATATTCCATAAAGAACATAGCCAATATTCTCTATGAATTTGTGATCATATTTGAGTACAACGGAAGTCACTTCAGATAACCCAAATATTGACCAGAACAAAGTCTTGAAGCTTTCTTCTACGCTGTTGAAAGAATAAAGCACACGGTGAGCAAATGAACAGCTTTCAATATTAAAAAGTCCAAAGTGACAAACAGGTTGGGGTCTAGATGCTGTGCAGATATAAGGTTCCATCACAACGAGTTCTATAAGCAGACTTATGTTGATGTAATATCTAACAAAAATCCTCTCAAGTTTTCAGCTCGTGGTGATTAAATGGTGCTGAACACCTGGCTTTTCTGTCAGTTGTCCTCAAGTGAGAGCGCTCTGAACTCAGTAGACCTTCATTTCTTAAAAGCTGCGTTTTGATTTGGTGGTAATTGAGAACTTCAAGTTAGGCTTTCCAGAGTAGAACAGGAATATTACATTCCTGAAAATTAAATACGTCAAAAAGTTAACGGCTCACTCTAAAAAATATTCACTACCAAAAAAAAAGTTCCTTGCACTATTGATTGCAGTGAAATCAAAACCCCAAATAAAAAACCCTCACTGCCAGTAAGTCAATTCTGACACAGCAAGTCAAAATTGTTACCGAAACCGTAACTCTTCACAGGAGTGGAAAACCTCGTCTCTCTCCCCATTTGTGTCTTTATTAATTGCAGTGGGCAAGAAAAAAACATCACATAAATTTCCATCAATAGATGCCTGGATAAATGCATTCAGAGATATGCATACATGGGAATGCTAGGCAACTGCTGAGGAAAACAATCAGGGACATTCCTTTTTATGTGCTGGTGGTGCTATTAGCTAAGCATTGGACTGCTAATCACAAGGGCGGTGGTTTGAATCTACTACCTGCTCTGTGGGAGAAACTGCAACACTATCCAGTCGATACCAACTTATAGCAACCTCATAGGATGGGATAGGACTGCCCCCTGTGGGTTTCTGAGACAATGACTCTTTTTTTAAATTTTATTTTATTTAAAATATAAATTGGGGGCTCATACAGCTCTTATCACAATGTAGCCATCCATCCATCCATCCATTGTGTCATGCACATTTGTACATTTGTTGCCCTCATCATTTTCAAAACATGTTCTTTCTACTTGAGCCTTTGGTATCAGCTCCTCAGAGACAGTAACTCTTTATGGGAGTAGAAATCCCATCTGTCTCCCTAGGGCTCCTGCCTGGGAGAAAGTAGAGACCGTCTGCTTTATGAAGATTTATAGCTTCAGAAAACCCTAGCTAGAGTCACTATGAATCTGAAGTGACTTCATGGCAGTGGGATTGATATGGAATTATATCCAAGATATATAACTAAGTGGAACAGTAAGTTGTAGAACGTGTAGAACATCTATCCTTTCGATGAAAAAGAGCACTATCCAGGTACTTATGGAGAGCCCCGTGGAACAATGCCTACTCGCTGCCTGCTAACTGAAATGGCAGTGGCTGGTGGTTTCCAGAGAGAAAGAGTTCCTGATCTGGTCTTGGACCGATTACAGCCGAGGACGCCTGATGGGAGGGGCAGCTCTGCTCAGTCCTCTGACGTCCTTGGGAGTCAGTGTTGACCTGATGGCCGACAACAGCAGATACATTATTCTTGTTTGTGCAAAAAGTTATCTGGAAAAGTATCTAAAAGAAGCCGCTGCCTCTGGGAACGCGGGGCAGCTGAGACTGGAGACCGGAGGTGGGGAAGGAGCAGCCTGTTCACTTTAGACACATCTATGTTTGAAAAATGTGCCACAAGCATATGCCGCCTATCTAAAAATAACAAGGAAAAAATGAAGAAGGGGAAAAAAGGAGGAAGTAGAATGAAATATTCCTGTTCTTTCCCCTTAATTGATATAATCTACCTCCTGGTCCTTTCAGCATAGTAATTGGCACTTAGAGCCTTACCAGACTAATTACCCACTTTCATCCCTCAAACGAGCTTTTGCTCACATGTGTTTGGCTGATTGTGTCATAAAATCAAGCCCTAATCACTGATAGGTGAGCTGAATAATTAATGTGTAAATTAAACAAGCCCAAAAGACATCAGAAAGAAGGGGTGCAACACACGGCCTTCAGCTCGAGCAAGAGGTTCAGGGACAGCACTTGTTCTGAAATTAGTCAGAACAGACTCCAGACGGCAAGCAGAACGACGGCATAGTAGGTTGCAGGATTTATTTCGTTATGAGCTAATTAATCCAACAACTATTCGTTGAATGGCTCCTATGTTCTAGAAATGGTGCTAGAGCCTGGGGACAGAGGGGTCAAAGGAAAAGTAAATGTCCCTTAGACGCTCTCTGAGGAAAACATTTGATCACGTCAGGGCGAAGCACGCCGCTGGAGAAGACGACAGAAACCTGGAACCACTGTGTTCCCGTCACGAATTTAATATGATCACAGGTTCCCCCCTTGCTTCCACTTGCTCCTTTGAAAGCTGCCCCCTCCTCACTTCGCTTTGGATCTCCATGGAGAGTCTGTGGGAGGAGGGGGGAGGCTGGACCGCAGAAAGCTCTGGGGGTTGCTGAAAATCGACTGCAGGCTAGAAGCTCTCAAAAAAAAATTCACCTCAGACAACTCTCACAATGACTTCATCTAAGGCCTTATTTAAATTTCCTTTTTGTCAGTTGCCATACACTTGGTCCCAACCCATAGCAACCCCAATGCACAAAAGGACTGGACCTTGTAATCACAGGGTTTTCATCGGCTGAGTTTTAAAAGTAGATCACTAGGCCTTTCTTCCTTGTCTGTCTTAGTCTGGAAGCTCCTCTTCCACCTGCTGGGCATCAGCCACTGCCAGAGTCCATTTCAGCTCACAAATCGTCCGGACAGGGCTTTCCAGCCTGTCAATCATAAAGGGGGCAGGCCAGCTCACCTTTCTCTCTCTGAGCGGCTGGTGAGTTTGAACCGCTCAGTGCCAAGCCCCTAGTGCCACAAGGACTCAGGTTTGGCAGGAAAGCCACGTGCAAACCTCCCCTGACAGACTGGTGATGGCTACGCTGAGGAGTATTGGCAGAGAACGGGATGCGGTCTCCTTCCTGGAAGCGGGCAATACTAACCTTAAACTGCTGCCCTGCACTGAAACTTAAAGGTGCCCGTTTTGCAAATGAGGAAACTGACGCCGAGAAACCAAAGACCATAGTAAGAAAAGAGCAGAGATGGCATGCAGATCCAAGTTGGCTTGACGGCCAAGCCTGTTTTCTTTCCACTGCACGCTGTCACCACCTTTCCAAATGAAACTGCGAAGAAAGTGGACCGTGTATCACAGACTTAACAGGAAGGAGGCAGGGTAGAGATCTATGTCAAATAGCAAAGCCTCCATTCCAATCAAGTGAGGTTTAATTCTCTTCCATCTTAACAACTGGCTCTATATGTATAATAAAATAGTCAATTTAGCTATATGAAAGTGCTTGATATACTAGTCTATGTGGGACACATCAAGCATCTGTTTCACTTTCAGCCCAGAATCAGAGGGTGCAGAGGCGCACTGAAAAGGCTGGTATTCTCCCCACCACAAAGGGGCCCCTGTGCAGAGGCCGGACTCTGCCCTCAGCACAACCAGAGACCAGTCAGGGAGAGTGCTCTCACCATCTGGATGGCCACATGCCGAGGGAACTTCAAGGGGGGACCACTGAGGAAGCTGAACCCAGGCAGCCTTCAGGCAGGTGCTGAGTGCTCCCTCCCGAAAGGAGAAACCAGCAGGACCAAAGTCAGCGCTGCAGTCTCCATTTGACCGGTGACCAGCTGTCACCGAGCGGACTCTAACTCAGCTGCCGGAGACCTGTGCTCCGCGTGGCTTTCGGTGAGGGACCCTTTGAAAGCAGATCTCTCGGTCTTTGCTCTAAGGTGCATTGAGTGGACTTCAACGGCCAAGTTTGGGGTCAGCATTAACTGATCGCATTATTCTGGGACTCGTATCGCCTTTATAGTGGACTGTAAAACATGTAGCTATAATTTCCTCTCACCCAACTCCCTGTGCTGATTAATGAATTCATTAAACTGAAAGCTGATAGTTTTATGTTTAATAGTTGGTCTGGCTACCAAATGATGAAACTAAAATTAATGTTATACATAATGCAAGAGATATCCCGTATGAGACATCTGTTACCTGATTCTCTTAAATCTAGGATTTTTATGTCAAATGCTGATCTGTTCTGCAGTCCGTTGTTCACTAAGATCAACGGCACAAGCCTTCAAAGACCAGACAGTCACATGTAAGTGCTTACACTTTTCAATGAGTTCTTTTCTCTTTTCAAGATCATCTCTATTTATTACAGCCCTTGACATTCTCCCTTGACTTCAGGTAGCTGTGTGAGACTTTCTCTTTATCAGGCCTTTTAAATACGTTGTACTTACGTGGTAAAAGCAGCATTCACTTTAGCCCCCAAGTAGTAAGAATAAAGTATAAACATGCCAATCATGAAGGCAAGAAAGACCATAATAAAGAGGACCATGAACTTGAATATGTCCTTCACAGTCCTTCCCAGAGAGATCTGTAAGGGGCCGAAGCTCTCATTCGCAGGGAGGATGTAGGCAATCCGAGAGAAGCTGAGGACCACGGCTATGGCATAGAGACCTTCGGATATGATCTGAGGGTCAGAAGGCAGCCATTTATCTCTGGCTAGAAAAAAGAGAGAAGAGATAAGACCAGGGAGCTCACTCATCATTTCTCAGTATGCAATAGAAATACCTCTAATAGGCTGCCTTCTACGTTCTTATGAGAGCAGACAGTCCCATCTTTCTCCCATGGAGGAGCTGGTGGATTCGTACTGCTGACCTGGAAGATTGCAGCCCACCGCATAACCGTGCTGCCAGGGTTCACGGGGAGCAGTCAGTCAGTACCCAGGGCTTTCCAGCACGCTCCCTTCCAAAGCACACACCACCAGCCACGTCAAAGGAAAGGATGGTCTTTTCCTCTTCCTCAGGCCCAGGGTGGCACAAACAGTAAAGTGCTCGGCCACGAACTGCAAAGTTGGTGGTTTGAATCTACAAAGAAGCCCCTGGGAAGAAAAGACCTAGTGCTCTCCATCTCTGTAAAACCAGCCATTGAAAACCCGATGGAATTTATAGACTGGTATCGGACATATGGGCTCATATCGGACCTAGGAACTTGATCTGACTGGGCTAGGATATTTTCTGAATATACAATTGCTCTTACATATAAAGCTCTTTCTTATACCAAAAAAAAGTAAAAGAAAACCTTACGGGCCCGGTTCTACTCTGACACACGTGGGGTTGACACCAGGCAGAGCCCACTCAGCAACGACTGCTTTGTTTGCCTCAGCGCTGCCTTAAAATCTCCTTGCAACGTGGCCAGCATCTTCCCAGCCACAAACCCTTCCCAACCACCAAACCCACGCCCGCTCGACCAATCGTATGTACACACAATTCTTTATGTTCTGTCTTCTACGGTTTCTATTGGTAATGATTCAGGAATCCAGTAGTCTTGATTGGGGCCCATAACATTTCTCACTCACCAATCCCAAGGCCATCGTGGCGGCCCAAGCGTTAAGTGTTTGCCTGCTCACAAAGAGGTGGGTCGTGTGAAAAGCCGCCCCGACTATTGAAGTGGTTCTGACTCACTCTCTGAGGGCAGAGTAGAACTGCTTCCCGTCAGAGGCTGTGGGTCTGTATGGGAGCAGAGAGCCTCGCCTCCCTCCCAAGCAGCGGCTGATGAGTGTGGAACATGGACACTGCGGTGAGGAGCCCACCGTGTAACCCACTCTGTCTTGAGGTGTGAAGGACTGCCACAGAACTGGGTGCTCGACATGTGCAGAGGCATCTACCAGCGGTACAGGGAGACGCTTCTTTTTCCTTCTTTGGTTGACTGCTTATTTTGAGCTGACTTTGAAAAGTCAGCTAGCCAGCAAGCCTTCAGACTCCCTCTACCTTCTGCTCCTTCCCCCTCCTCATTGTATGTTCCTAAGAGGAAACCCTACAGGACAGCTCTACTGTGTCCCTTGAGGTCAGTATGAACTGGAATTGACGCAAGAACCCAGTAAAGATCTAGTGTCATAAAACAGATACAATTATGCTGACTTTAAAAGGTAACACTTTCAGAAAAGTAATAAATTAGAAAGGAAAGGGAATGTGTACAAATCAGGATATTCTGAAAAATATGGACGAATCTAATGATTCTAAAATTATTGATCTGTCAAATGAAGGAGTCTGAGACGGTATTGCTGAGGTGATTATTGGAATTGCTACAAACTTAACTTTTCCACCAAACTGCTCATGCCATTACAAGTGATGGCAGATCCAGTAGCAGTGAAGGGGGCAGAGTTGGGAAATTGACTGGAGCTGCTTATATTTTATTACAGCATGACTAAGTAGTCAAAAACTGAAAGTTAAAAGAAAACCCTAAACTCACTGCCGTCTGGTTGAATTCTGGCTCAAAGTGACCACAGAGGACAAAGAACTGCTGCCCCGGAGCCGCTGGGAGGTAGGCCCTCGTGGAACAAACCAGCATAACTGCTATAAGACCCAGAGACTTCAGACAATTTCCCAGCGTACAGGAAAGGCACGCCAGAAGGTTGTTTAACATCATTCAGTCTATTATCTTTCTAAGTTGAGCCCCCAGGTCCTCACCTTCCACAGCAAGCAGCTCTTCCCCCTGATGTAAGACAGCCTCCTCTCTGAGAAGTATTATGTGGTCAGGTTTAAGGGCACACCCCCCCCCCCCCCCCCTCTTCATTCTCCAGAGATGGAAACGGAGGCCCTGAGAAGTCACTGAACTTGGACAAGGGCACGCAGGAGGAAGAGGCAGGGAGCTTTGGTATGACCCAGGTTTAAAGCTCCACAGAACACAGGTTCAACACAGCTCCCAGACAAAGGGCACTCTCTCCTGGCAGCATCCTCCAGGGCCTCTTCCTTCCTGATCGGAGAGGCCCCTGCGGCTCAGAACTCACCATAAGTGAAATAGCGTATCTCGGGAGGAAGCGCCACTTCACTGAGGTCGCTCTCTTGGATATTATTGTCCACGTATCGCTGCGCTTTCGTCGCCTGAAGGAAAGCTAGGAAGCGGGCTGTGAACGCAGCGATGAAGATGGAGAGCATCCCGAAGTCCAGCACGTTCCACAACTGCAGCACGTATTCCCGCGGCCCTTCCAGCCAGAGCTCCTTACACTCGGACCACATCATTCCTGTCACAACAACCACACGGGAGGCACCGGTCAGATGTGGCGGTTTTCACAGAGACGTCATTCCTCTGTCCATCCTCCCAGCGACGGCAATCATGCCCTAGCTCGTTAGCAGCGCGCGGGCAGACCTCCAGGGACTGCACTTGGCGGAGATTGCATTTGTCTGCCAAATGGAAGGTTTGCGGCCACTTCCGCACCTCGCAGGGCTGTTGGCACAGTGTGTGTCCACTTCGTGCCTCTGTGTTCCATTTTGGTAATTCTCACAAGATTTCCAACTTTTTAATAATGCTACCATACATTTAATAATGTAACTATAATCTTTACATGCACCAGGAAGCCAAATGTTCTTGTGAGATTCAATTTTGGGTGGCGGTAGGGAACCCCACCTGCGGTACCACTGAGGTCCGTCTGTACCAAGCACCCGATGACTGACTAGGCCATTGGGGTCCTGGGCAGATTTGAATGGAAGAAAGGCTTCCATCGGTGGAGGATGACTCACTCCAGCCAGCTCTGATTGGGAGAAATGGGCTGGTACTCTCTGCGGCACCAGAAGTTTCTCTAGTGAGGCAGAAGAGCAGACGGGAGGAAAGAGAGAAAGAAGAAGCAAGGAATCTTCCTCACGTCAAATTATTTTGCCCTGTAAGACTTTTGGAGGACAGGAGAAAATACATACTAGGAAAATCACAATAGTAGGAAATGAGTTCCCAAATGAGAAACCTTAATGCCTACTTTTAACCTGCAGAACAATTCCTAATCGTCAGGAGCACATTCCTCTCCCTCCCTCTCCAGCTCAGCTTCTGGCAGGTGAGGGAGGGCTATCATATGCAAAAGAGGAAACCCTTAGCAGGAGGCTCGATGACTCTGGGGAGAACAGAGAGTGCCATTCTCCAGAAGAGACCCAAACCTCCCAATTTAACGAGTCTCAACCGCATGAAGGGAAAATACTGTCCTGTTTTTAAATGTAAAGGTTCAAAATAAAATTCATAAAACAATTATTTAGCCCAGGGGGAGGTCACAGGAATGAATGAGAGGAAGAATCAACCTATTAATTCAGGAACTAAGATACCAATAAAAAGAGACTGATAGAAAATAAAGTATTCAAGAATGACTTCGGATTCATCTCAATAGGTAAACTGGCTAAAGAATCCACTTATTAGAATAAAGCAAAAAAAATTTTTTCTCCTATGGCTTAAAAATTTGACTTTCACACAACCACCCAGTGCCACTGAGTCGATTTCAACACCTCCACAGCAGTGGTTCTCAACCTTCCTGATGCTGCGACCCTCTAATACCGTTCCTCATGTGGTGACCCCAACCATAAAATCATTTTCACTGCTACTTCATAACTGTAATTTTGCTACCGTTATGAATCATAATGTAAATATCTGATATGCAGGATGTATTTTCATTGCTACTAATTAAACATAATTAAAGCATAGTGATTAAACACAAAGCAATCTGTAATTATATATTGTGAAATGTTTATATTTTCCGATGGTCTTAGGTGACCCCTGTGAAAGGGTCATTCAACTCCCAAAGGGGTCTCGACCCACAGGTTGAGAACTGCTGCTCTACAGGGCTTCTGAGGCTGTCAATCTTTATGGGAGCAGACAACCTCATCTTTCTCCCTTAGAGCTGCTAGTGGGTTCAAAACACCAACCTTGCAGTTAATAGCATAAGCTGTTTAAAGTAGGCTATTGTGAGGTGAAGTAAACATTCTGAAAAAGGGAACTCCCTGAATGAAAGCATTACACAAGTTCTTGTATAAGCAGTTCAAATCACTGGGTTATTGCCTAAGTCTTCAAATAATTTATCCTTCCACTGAGTCATATTAAGAAACCTACATTGTGCTCAGTAATTGAAGTTTGATTTCAGAAATTTGTGATTAGGCTTGTTAGTCACATGTAAGGGAATATTTTTTAGGATAATCTGAAAGACAGATGATTAGATTTGGTTTTTTTACAATGGTTATTATTTATTTTACTATCATGTTCACTTGACAATGGAGATCCTGCCACCATATAAGAAGATGCTAATCATTAGATACAAAGCATTATTTTGGGTAGAAATTAAGGAACTTAAACTAAGTGGCTTACCAAGAACCCAAACCATAATTAGCATCTCAGTCCACGTGAACTGTGTGGTCTTCACCCTGAAGATCTGCTTAGGATAGTCAATGACAGTGATATTTGGCAGTGTGGTGATACCTTCGAACCTGTCGGAGGCATTGAACACAAGGAGACCCAGGAAGATGATGAAGGAAGCAGCATGCGCCACAAATTTCATGAAAGGGCTTCTCAGAATTTTCCCCAGCTGTAACAGAACACAAAGAAGAAAAGTCTGCTTCCGTCAGCCTGGCTTCCACTTACGGCAATTATTAGGCAGGGTTAAGGGAAAAAGGTCGCAGGGTATTTTCAAAATTCTGCTTTTGTTTCCAAGGAGCTACACACTGTGAAAATTGTTCCTTTTAGGTGAATGTTTCCTCCAAAAATAATCTAAGGCGTCTTCAAAATGTATTGCTTATAAATAACCACCTTTGAGTAAATAGATGCATATCCGGACATCACAGGTCACATACTGCTTATCATCATGGGAGACTATGAAAACCAGGTTTTTAGGGTCTATAGGAAAAGAAGCCCCAGATCTTAATGTGCAATTCTTTATTGCTTTATAATTGAAATTCAGCATTTTGTAGTTTTATATAAATGCAAACCCACAGCCAGAGTCAATTCCAACTCATAGCAACCCAAAAGCACGGAGTGGAACTGCCCTTTTAAGTTTCTGAGTCTGTAAATCTTTATGGGACAGAAAGCTTCACCTTGCTCCTATGGGGTAGCTGGTGGATGCAAACTGCTGGCCTTGTGATGACCAGCCCCATGCATATCCTACTACGTCACCAGGGCTCCTTGTAGAACCATATAGTGCCTTAAACACCTTTGAAAATAAAAACATCCTGTAATCACAGAATTAGATCCTACTTTACATGGAAATTTACCAAAATTAAGTTGTAACTTACGTGATATGGAAGACAGTGGGATCAAATAAATCTTCTAACTGCTGCTGCCTCAATAAAAAGAACTACTGCTCCAATAATTCGATTTTCTATGTAGGTCTACCTAATTAAAAGTCAGTTCTGAGTTTGGCAAAAGATAAATAATACAAAAGAACATCTAAAGTTTGTCATTATTTTAAGGTGACTCCTTTAAAATCCCATGGATATAATGTCCTTAAAAATCCAATGTTCTCACAGAAATGAAGAACAATTCCTCCTCTCCCAAAGGCTTCCACCTTCCAGGAATTAGAGAGTGACCTAATCTCTCTATTCTGCATACACAGACCTTGCTTTTGAATTCACTCTATGACCTGAAAAAGGACTGACACTCATTTTCAAAAGACTGCTCCACACAAATGGTCTGCATGGTCAGAATCTTAATTTGATGCCAACAAACCACCAACAAATGTCACATATTTCTGCGATTGAGCGTGGCTACACACAGACATATGTCCTATTTTCTATGTTCCACACAGGAAAATAAACAACAACAAATTTGCATTCCAAAAGGGCACATTCGGAGTAGTTTATCCGCAGTACACAGTGATTGTTATTGGCAATTGCCAACTCTGTTTCTCAAAAAAATTAATCTTTTTTCATTTTTATATTTATTGGGACATTTGGGACATATGTCACATATCAGACAATTTAACTGTTCAGTTACATTAGGAAGATCTGTGCAATCATCGCCACAATTAATTTCAGAACATTTTCTTCTGGTACTCGTGGTCCTTGCTCGCCATTTCCCCCACTGCCCCTGCCATGCCCCAGGTGATTACCCATCCCGTGACTGACTGTCTCCTTGAAATCACAGGGAGAGAACCCAGTGTGCGTATCTGACATTTGGGACCCATGTGAAGAGACCTTGCTATCTTGCCTTTTCATCTTAAGATGTTACACCTGATAGGGGTGGGGGGGTGGGGGCTCCAGATATGCATCAAGTCTCATGCTTCCCTTCTCTGCTCAACAAAGAATTCCCCTCACTGTTGGCTTGTTGTTGCAAGGGGAGAGAGAAAGAAGAGAGAATTCACAGCTGCCTACTTTGACCCTGCTGTACGATTTCCTGGGTTGCTTTGCCTTAAAAGACAAACACTTACAAATATGGAGTTTTCGATTCATTTCCCTCAGAAAAGGAAAATCTTTTGATTAAGAGTGTATGGTTTTTCCTTTCTTGCATGCTCTTTCTTATTATTAATAGTTCTTAGTCTCTAGTGTTTGTGCATTTGAAGAATCTTAAGAGTACGTTTCCATAATACATAACCAAGAACTTAGTTGAGTCAGCAGGATTGATCAAAATGACAGACGCCAAGCCCACGGACACCTCACAAATGGAGTGAGAAGGATGAATATTCGCTCACGTATAAGGTGCCTGTGGGGCAGGACTCTGCCCAAGCCAGCACCTGATGGATGTCCAGGATCATTTGTAAGTGGCCTTGACTCATTCCGCCTGAAACTGCCTCTGATTTAAGCAAAACCAGATTTGGGAATATAAAAACAGGATTAAAGGCTGTCAGACAGCTTCTTCTCCTTGGCCGTGTCCTTTATTAACCTAATAGAAATTCGATTAGCATGACTCCTATTCCTTTCTACATCCTGCTTGGGGGCTTGAACGAGAAGGGAATGAAAATGGTGAGCAAAATGATTGATGTACAAATAAATAACAATTCGGAAAACCCAAAGCTCTCCACCCCCAAGTCTAAATTTTGTAGAACTCTCTAAAGGAACAAGGGGTCAGGGAAACTTGACGTGTGCTTTCGTGAAGACTTGGAACCAATGCCAGTCTTTTCAACCTTACTTAATAGAGCCAGCCTTAACTTTCTTCTGATGGGTTCAAATGCCTTCCATTTCCGGTTTCTAGGTACTGTTTCAGTAGGGTTATTTCCTTTTTCCCTCCACAGGCTAGCCATTGCTGTCTTCAATAAGCTGTCAGTAGCATTAGTATACATACTGCTTCACAGGGACTTTTTCTTGTAATCTCCAGTATTATATGCCTGAAAATGGGATCTACTCTGCTCACACCAAATCCTTCTTCATCCCTCATTGGAATTGATCCAATAATTAAAAGGCACAATCCATGTTCTCGAATCAATTCACATTCAGGATAAGGCTGATAAGTGGGAAGCTTTCCCTTTTTTTTTTCATCTCGAAGGAGCATGGTAAACCAGCCACAGCGGAAATGGTGTAGAAAGGCCATATACCCTGCTGCAAGGTGCGATCCAGTAGCCGATGGCCAGAAAAGGAAGACCCAAGGCCACAACCAGCACCACCAGGCACTTGATGGCTACGGTCTGTTCCCGCAGGCCAGACAGGTTCTCATACCAGATGGTCAACAGCTGCTGCTGGCAGTTGGGGTGAGCCACAAACTGTGGGGAAGAGAGAGAGAGAGGGGTAGGTTATCACGCTATCAACACTGAGCGCATTTGCATTCTAGCGCGATGAATGCACGTTTCCAGAGCATCGCAGGTTGGAACCCTCCTTTGTTTTCCTGCCATTTCTCAACACTGCTTCAGACCTAAGAGAAAAACCAGAGCACCAATGAAAGGGTAGAGTATGTGCTGCTCCTCATCACAGTTCTTTCTGAGAGAAACGACATACTTCACAGATGCCTCGCTGAGATCTGACTGGCATCTGGTTGCCTTTGTGAACATGTGTCGCATCTTGCTGTCTTGCCAGTCGACGTGCGCTCAGTTCACTGAAAAAGAAAAGTTATTTGGTGCGTTGTAGACCATAACTAACCAAGAAATGGGTCACTTTCATGAATCCCCCCAAGGTGCTACGTGTATGAAAATATATGTGTGGTGTGCTATAGGTATGGACTATCACAAGGAATGTCCAAATAATCAGTGATCTGCTGGTATTTTGCCTGATCCATACTTGAACTGTTTCTAGGAATAGGCATCAAATGCTGCTTCCTTCCAATTCCAGAGATCAGTCCCAGTGCTTCACAGCTATCTCCAGCGATTCTGTCACAATTCCAATTCCAGTTGGAGAAAGAATTAGCAGATAATACTTACTGTAGGTCTGCCCCTTGATTTTGCTGAATTATCTACCTGCATATCTATCTGGAATGACTGCAGTTTCTTTAAGGCCTAAGCCTTATTTCTGTAGCAGAATTCATCTCTAGCAGACCCATGTAAAGGCCCCTATGCCAATGGTACCCACTTTTCCCTGCAAAAGATTCGCACTATCGCACTATTCTCTGGTCTAAGCCCAGCCTGCTGGAGCCATCAGAAGTACTTTGTATTTACAGCTGTACAACGTCTCACAAACACAAATCATGAAAACAGATACCGGAACCAACATTCTGTTCCAATTCTTTTTCTGTATCTTATGTATAAGTTGCTATTCTAATAGCTCACACATTAACTGAGTAGTTACAGTGTGCCTAGAACAGTGGTTCTCAAACCTGTGGGTCGCGACCCCTTTTGGGGGTTGAATGACCCTTTCACAGAGGTCATCTAAGACCATCGGAAAACACATATTTCTGGTGTGTTTTGGGACTGAGACACCGCTCCTCTATCAGTCTCCAGGCTGGTCCGCCTACATGCAGATACACCCATATTATGTGTGCCCGGCTGTGAAGTCTGCTACCCATGCCTACACCATGCTTCAAGACAAAATTTCATTTATTTGTCATTAGAAATAAATATTTTACAATATCTAATTACATATTGTCTTTGTGATTAATCACTATGCTTTAATTATGTTCAACTTGTAACAATGAAAATATATCCTGCATAGCAAATATTTACACTATGATTCATAATAGTAGCAAAATTACAGTTATGAAGTAGCAAAGAACATAATTTTATGGTTGGGGTCACCACAACATGAGGAACTGTATGCTCACACATTAACTGAGTAGTTAATAGCTACTTACACATTATAGGGTCGTGGTATTAGGAAGGTTGAGAAGCACTGTCCTAGAATTTAGCACTTAATCCCTTACCACTTAATGCAATATGGATGCTCGTAACACTACCTAAAGTTGGGATGGCTTCTTTTTCATCTTTTTCAAACAGGTATTAGAAGAAATTTGCATATTGACTTAGAAGATGGACGAATCAATACATTTGAATTGTGGTGCTGAGGAAGAACACTGAAAGTACCATGGGGCTGCCGAAAATGCAAACAGTTCTGTCTTGGTTGATACAGAATGAATGCTCCTTAGAGACAAGGATGGTGAGACTTCATCTCGCACAATGTGTTATCCCGGGTGGACTAGAGAAACAAATCTAGGGAGACTCATATGTATATAAGAAAGAGCTTTATATACAAGAGCAATTGAATATTGAGAAAATATCCCAGCCCAGTCCAGATCAAGTCCATAATTCTGACAATAGCCCATATGACTGATACCAATCTATAAATTCCTCTTCAGACTCATTCAACAAGTGGAATGATGCCAAATGCAGGAAGATCACAGGCCAGTTGGGTGGAAAGTCTTGTGGATCCAGTGGCAGTGGAAGCATCTTAGCTCTGGCAGGGGTCTCCACGTGGCTCCTTCAGCTCCGGAGCTCTAGTGTAGCTCCATGTGTCTTCTCAACAGGAAGGTCTCACAGGGAGTATATGTGTGTCCCACTCCCAGGGAGCTATTTATCTCCTTAGCACCTCCAAATGAGGTCATCAAACTGTGACTGATTGACAGGCTAAACTCCACCCCTTCACTCTTAAATCTCAATTTGACAACAGATTATGTAATTACCACACTGACTTTGGACATGTCAGGATAGACATGTTCCTGGAGAAGGACACCACGCTTGGCAAAGTAGAGGAGCAGGAAAAAAGAGTGAGGTCCTCAACAAGACGGACTGATACAGTGTCTGCAGCAATGGATTAACACATAAGAATAATTGTGAGGATGATGCAGGAACAGTAGTATTTTGTTTTGTTGTACACAGGGTAGCTATGAGTAAGAACCAATCAATGGCACCTAACAACAAGTGTCTGCTACAGTGCCTGTCTCATAGAAGTGGCGTAAGAGGTTTGATGAGTACAGGCATGAATGAGACAGGCAGGGTTATGGATTGAATTGAACCTTTACCAAATCCTATTCTCTATATCTGTGGTGATAATTCCAGTTGAATACTTGTTGTGGTTGTCTGTGGTGGTAATAAGACAAGATTAGTATAAGGTGCATCTGAAGTCAATGTCTTTTAAGATATAAAAGAGATTAAACAAGTGAGTGGAGGAGAGATAGGGTAAAACAGATGCCAAGACACATCTCCGTGGAACTAGGCAGCAAAGCTGAAGAGAAAAGGAGTTTCCTTGAGAGCTGGCAGAGAGTAAAGCCTTCCTCCAAAGCCATTGCCCTGAACTTGGATTTCTGGCTTTCTAAACTATGAAAAATATACTATGTTTGAGAGGAACCAAACTTCAACCTGGTGCTCCAAGATGTGAATGCAACATACTGGCATGAAGCAGGGAACCAGTAGAGAGGTCTGAGGGGCTGGCCCCAGTCCCAACTACGTGGACAGCCCCCCTCCCAGCAGAATAATTCACTTCAGAGGACAGCACTGAAGCTACAGCTCAGGGAGAGGGACATGTCTGATCAGAGCACACAGGAACAAATGAAGAGAGAGGAAGAAAGAGTGGAACACTTTCTGGCCCACCAAGTCCTGAGGATGATATTCCTGCTCAGAGCAGGCAAAGCACAGAGAGGACCATAGTGCCAGTCCCACCACGAGACAGAACGTCCCTCACTGACCTATAGTACTACGGGGAACAATACAGGAGACACAGTGTGGGAATTGTGCCAGATCTGACCCCACCATAATGAGGTGAAACACTAAGGGTATGCCACAGAACAGCAAGGGGAGCAGAGCAACTAAGTACCCAGGGAATACCAAAAATAGACTTTGGGGCTAAGGTGTGGCACCCCAACAGACTTGACCGGAAAACACTCCTAAAGGTCAACAAACAGACCTTGAACTATTTACAGGCTTTTCTTTTTTGGGGGGAGAGGGGGTTGTCATTGGTTTTGTTGTTGTTGTTTAGTTTTCTTTTGTTGGTTTGTTTCGCTCTGTCTTGTTTTTTTGTGCACCCTATTATCTCTGCAGGTCTATCTAGCAAAGATAGGCAGGATAAACAATCTGGAGGAGGAAACAATGGGATCAATGGATCCAGGGGGACATGGGAGAAGGGGAGGCAGGGGAAAGGAAGTGGGAGTTAACAAACCCAAGGACAAGGGAACAACAAGTGATGGTGAGGAGGCTGTGGGAGGCCTGGTAGGGCTTGGGTAAGGACAATGTAACCAAGAGGAATTACTGAAATCCAAAGGAAGGCTGAGCATGATAGTGGGACAAGAGGAAAGTGACAGGAAATAGAAGAAAGAACTAGGAGGCAAAGGGCAGTTATAGAGGTCTAAATACAGGCATGTACATATATAAACATATTTATATATGATGATGGGGAAATAGATCTATGTGTATATATTTATAGGTTTAGTATTAAGGTAGCAGATGGACAGTGGGCCTCCACTCAAGTACTCCCTCAATGCAAGAACACTTTGTTCTATTAAACTGGCATTCCATGATGCTCACCTTCCTGACGTGATCACTGAAGACAAAGCAGGTGCATAAGCAAATGTGGTGAAGAAAGTTGATGGTGCCAGGCTATGAAAAGATATGGCATCTGGGGTCTTAAAGGCTTGAAGATAATCAAGTAACCATCTAGCTGAGATGCAACAAAACCCACACAGAAGAAGCACACCAACTTGTATGATCATGAGATGTTGACAGGATCAGGTATCAGGCATCAGAAGACCCAAAAGAAACAATCATATCAATGTGAATGATGTGCACACTGGAGACCCAAAGCTCATCTGTAGACAATTGGAAATCTCCTTACAGAAGGGTGACAAGGAATTGATGAGTCAGTCAGGGTGCACTATAGCACCGAGGAAACATACAACTTTCCTCTACTTCTTTAATGCTTCCTCCCCGAGCCCCCATCATGACCCCAATTCTATCTTACAAATCTGGCTAGACCAGAGTACGTACACGGGTACAGATAAGAGCTGGAAACACAGGGTATCCAGGACAGATAAGCCCCTCAGGACCAATAATGAGAGTAGTGATACCAGGAGGATAAGGGTAAGATAGGGGGAGAAAGGGGGAACCAATCACAATGATCTACATATAATCCCCTCCCTGGAGGACAGACAACAGAAAAGTGGGTGAAGAAGACATCGGTCAGTGTAAGACATGACAAAATTATAGCAACTTATAAATTATCAAGAGTTCATGAGGGAGGAAGGGTAGGAGATGGAGGGGAAAAAATGAGGAGATGATACTAAAGGCCCAAGTAGAAAGAAAATGTTTTGAAAAGGATGATGGCAACAAATGTACACATGTGCCTGGCA